CATTCTTTTGACGTTTTTCTTCTTTCTTCCTTGCTTTCTTTTTTTTGGGGAAATTTTCGCGTGCTTACTATCTCATCCATAATTAGTGAACTAAAGAATACTGATGACCCTCTCCTTCTTTGCATATTTTGCACATTAATGAAGGAAGCTGCCCTGCTTTTTAATTGGTGTGAATGAAATAATTGTAAAATGTGACCCAGTGGTGTATGCCGGCATGTAGCATTTCCTGTGCTATTAAAAATCAAATCCCGCAAAACAGAGTTTTACCGACGCAGTAACCTCGGGTCTTATACTTGTAGATGAATCTCTTTAAAATTTAATTGTAACCGGACTCACTGTTATCATCTATAAAAACTACCTAGATTTTAGATGATACTTTTATTTTTTACCAAAGTCGTACGAAAAAAGTCAACCCTTGCCTTCCCATATCCGATGTCAAGACGTCGGCCGGGGTGGGGTGGGGGTGGGGGGTTTGTGTCACATGCTACTATTTCGTTGCCGTGCATTTTGTTCGCATGAGTACATTAGATAAAACAACCAAGTATTTATCAGACAGATTTATTACATGTAACATAATTTAGGAATTTAGAAAAACCAAAGCATGCAAGTATGCCTACTTGGTGAAAACTCCTCTGACATGGGGATCATATAAACCAGGTCCAAGCATATTCTTATCATTGATCAACCTTTACATGTAGTTTGTGGCCTGTTATCAGAATTTTCATGCAATGGAAAGGGAGCCCCCCCCCCCCCAATGTAACTGCATTACTTCTGGACTGTAAGAAAGTACCCCCGTGGTCAGACACCTTTCAATGACAAAGCCAAAAAAATAAAATATTATAAGTTTTTATTCTGTTAACACATAATTACATTGAAGTGGTACATTCATGTACTTTTTTGTATATTCAAAATTTGTTGTGTTTCAAAAGCGATTGTTTTGTCTTTGCTGTACTTCCTCATCTAGAAAAGCAGCAGTGCACACATCTTATCAGCTGTGTGTGAACTACAAACAGATATCTTATCAGTTGTTTGTAAATAGCAAATAAAGAAAGTGGCCCAACTTAAAACTATTTACCCTCAGTTCAGTTATGTTTGTAAACCATGCATATTAATGAGATGTACTAGTTGGGTGTACACTGGATAAACATAAACTTGGCAATTTGTTTGCAAACAAGAAAAAAACCAGTTTACTTGTACAAGATATTTTTTTTTCAATAAAATAAATACACCAATGCATGTAGCATGCCTTAGGGAGCTATTCGTGTGATTTTCAAAAACAAATGTGAAAAGTGCCAAAAAAACTATTCTGCTACCTTAATATCATTGTGGAAAAGTAAAATTAATGCGAAAAAATTTAAATCCTGAAAAAACAAAAATAAAAAAACTTAAGAACCTACAGTAAATTTAAAAAAGAATTTAAACAGAGCAATAATTGAAGACCCAAATTATAGAAAATATATATGCAAAACGATTTAATGATAGAGAAGTGCACAGGCATACAAGACCAAATAAAATTGAGGATGGATTTAACACCTGATTGGCAACAAAAAGGAGCTAGAATAAGGACAATACAAACTTCAGATCCACAGTTCATTTTGTTAAGACAGTGATCAAAGCAAACGCCACACATAAAGAACTTGCTGTTCATATTAATGAAAGTGCTATTAATTGTTTCATCAATGGATACAGTGATTGATCCCTTGCAAAGTTGCGGGTGGTGGGATCCAAGCAAAAAACATGACTTATCTGGGGTCGCAACTTTCCAAGGGGTCTTGTGAAAGTGGGGTTCATGCATTGAAAATGGATAAAAAGAACATAGCGGCATACACACATGGATTTATTTATAGTATGTTTTCTTTATTGTGAAATATCACACTGTCACTGCTTTATCCATGTCATCATTGTCGGATAATTTTGCACATTTTCTGTTCAGTCCACCTCTTTGCAAACTTTGAAAACAAATTTTCTCTGCTTTTCTTCATTCTTTACCCACCCACAAATAGTGGACTCATCGACGGCTAGACCAAGTGCAACTCTTGATTTGACTTCACTTAGATGACACAGTCGATCGCTGCAAAGTTTTAACGTATGGACAGACTGGATAACTTTCGCTTAGACATGCTGCTCAGTTGAGAACTAGAGATCAGTGATGGATTCAACTCATTGTAGCGAGTTTTACAGAGCTATATCAAAGGGGACCGACCGAAAAGTACATAAAAAAAATTGTTTTCATTCGTATATTCTCACATTTTTTGATAATTTGCTATAGTTGCAGTCATGGGAAGAACTGCAAGAAAGAAGAGAGAAAAAAGAAAAGACTTTCAGAAAGTAAAATTGAGAGTTGGTAAAAAGAAACAGCCTGCAGTCAATGCTACTAATGTGAATTTTCGAAGTCAGGCGATTCACATCAAGGAACAACTGAAAACAGATTCATCACAACCAACAAATCGAAGGAAACAAACAGTGCAGGTAAAACATACACATAACGGGTCCTACTATTTAACGCCTGAATATTATACAGTACAAGGATTGCTGCCGCTGCCCCGCGTGTTAGGTATTCCGGGCGTTAAATAGTAGGACCGCACATAACACACGTCTATTTAAGTACTATTATTATTGTTCAGTGCTTTATTTTGCATTTTTCTTTTCTTTTGTGATTTTTGACCAAATAGACATCAGTTTCCATGACACTGATCTTGATCAAAATTGTTAAGCAAACAACATGAATATGATGTTTTATTTTGTGAAGATGAATTGGTATTCAATTCGTTAAAAATGCTATACAAGATTTAAGTTGTTTTATTTTCCCAATTTGCAATAACAAATTTTGGTTGATTTTTTTTCTGGCTTTTTTTTTATTCTATTTGCACTAGTTTTTGTTTTAAAAAACAAATACATGTATATGGTATAACACATAAGAACAAAATGTTTTGAAATTTGCTGTCACTCCACCAAAATTTCTACTGCTACAAAATTTAACGATTTTCACAGTCATGTGAAATTAGTAAAAAGTTTGTCTCTCAAATAATTTGAGCAGTTTACTTTCCTTTACAAGAGTTGAAAATTTCTCAAAATTTAAATGTCACCATTCCTGCAAGAAAGATACTGCCCACATTAGAGATCATTTCAAAGTACTCAATGTTCACATTCAAAGTAAGCACCACAGAAATTCAACATTCTACAAAATGGATAATTTAAATTTCCCATTCTTTGTTTCACAATTTTTGTATCAGCCATCAAAGAAAAATGGCATTTAACTTTATCCAATAATATTATTTAGTAAAAATAGATTTTTTTTATTGAAGCAGACAATGAACAAATTTTACTAGACCATTGGGCATGTAATTCTTACCAGCCTGACTGAAAAGTAACAGGGCTCAGTAATACGAGCAGGCAGTAATATCAAACACTGTGTTAACTCGCACATAAACTTATTAAACAGAAATAACCGGGGGTACATGTTTTCAAACATCAAAGGATTTTGTCTTACTAACAATTACTTCTTTCCAAACTTACTTGATAATTTTTTCTGCAATTATAGGAGCTCTTCAGTCACCTTAATCATTACAATTCTTCAATAAGGCAGGATTCTTTACTCGGCTTGAAGGATTTATTCGTTCAGCATCCGCAACAAATATCAAATCATCTCTCAAACGTTCTGGAGCATGTCTCAAGTTTATTTACTGACTCTGAACATGATGTTAGAAGGACAGCTATTGGTCTGTTGCAGTATATATTTCCTCATCTGTCAGCCAATCAGGTGTCTCCATTCTTTGGCATCTTGAACTCTCACCTCTGCTGTGCGATGACACATATCTTTGAGGATATTCGATTTGATTCGTTGAAAGTGCTCGATTTGGTTCTACAGTATTTCCCGGAGTTGGTCACCAAGCATAGTAATCAGCTTGTACCTAACTTTGTGAACCAGATTTCCAAATCATCTGGAGCTGCAAAGTCGTCCCGGATACTCACAGTTAATCCATCCAGTAAATTATCTTCACAGAAATGGAGACGAAAGGTACGTTGTTTGACTAAATTTTTGCCAATCATCATAATCTAAAAATCAAGTACAAATTTTGTTAATCCCAGCCAAATACAATTCTGTTCTGTTCAATTTTGTTTTTGAAAATTGATGCGAGTGGGCATTTTTTTAAAATTTAAATTGTCAAGAAATTGTTCTCCTATTTTAATTTTTCTCAAATTTTTTTTTTAAAAAAACAGTGATAAAACCTGAAAAAATGCTGAAATGCATACATTTGTAATCGATGATTTCTTTTTTCTACATTCATCAATGAAGAATCAATGAAGTATTGAAATTATTAAATTATTTAAAGCATGGTGGTCGTCGTGCATTTCATGTAAATAAACAATGTATTTTACACGTGTTGTATACGTCACTATGAGTCCCATATCGAACAGGACGCTGCACGACGACTGCCACCCTTTAAGATACTTCTAGTCAGAGTGCTTACTGACTTACATAACTGCATTATCATTTGTTTTTTTCAATTTTTTTTTGGTGCCAGGCGACAGTTCAGGACATTGAATGTCACTGTTGTCTCTCCTGACTTTTATTTGTATGTGCATTATCATTTATACTAAGATTCAGAAGCATCACAATGCTTTGAGGCGTATCCCATGCTATATTTACAATGCTTGTAAGAAAACTTGCAACACTCGTCATGCAGATATGTTTCAATATGGTTCACTCTGATTTTAAGGTTCTTCAGAGACTATATCAGTTTCTGAAAGCATTGTTAGAGTCCCAGAACAAAACAACATCACTCAACAATAAAGCTGGGCAATGTATCGTGAAATGGGACAACATGAAGTCTGTACATGTACAAGTATTCTCAGCTCCAGAACCAAAGAGTACTCCTATCTTCACGCTGAGGTAACTATTTAGCTTACATCTCGCGTATATTTATTAGGTTTTATAACAAATCTAGAAGATTATAAACCGATTATTTTATCTCTTGTTGGTGTAATGATCATTTTGTATGGGTTTTTTTCACAACAAATATTGACCAAATCGTCAATATAATATTGATTACCGTATGATGAAGCAGGATCAAACTCAAAACATGTGCAATCAAGTGATCTAATTAATGTTATCTTTTATAGATCAACATCACGATTGGGTAAATCTACGGAAGATGAATATTTATCCCGGCCAGAAGAACTTTTAGGATTTATCAGAAATCTTGTACCAATTCTACTGCAGATATGGGTAGAAGCTAATCCTGAAAACCAGTTGTCTTTTGAATCTATGGAGACATTTTATGGAATTCTTTCAATTCTTCAGTTGCTATGGAGACAAATGTCTGACATATCAACCTCAGAGGATGGCTGCGTGAGTATCTTTTATATATCGGTTTTATCGTTCTTGCTTTCCTGAAAATAAGAATCGTTGTTGTCGGGTTTCACAATATTTTCTCTGTCTTTGCTCAGATGGATAAATTATTATCATCGCACATCAAAGACTTCCACCATCACCTCATGACCTGCTTTCCGTATGCTTCCCATGAACCTTTGCAAACTAGAAAGCCACAGAAGGTTCAATCAGTGACAGGTGTGGCACTGAATCTGTGCGTGTGTGAGGTGATGTCCTATTTCATAACAGAGGGAAATTCCAAAGAGAAATGGGTCAAGAGTTTGGTGGACTATGTCTGCGGGATCCTGAGGGAACAAAAGCAGATTTTGATGGAAAATCTTCAGACGATTCTGCAGTTTATACGAAGACTATTGAATGTACTTAAAAATACTGGTTAGTGAATAGATCACGTATATGTTCTCCTAATGTATAAATGTTTCTTTTGTAATAAATCCAAGCAAGGTTACCGTATATTATATTATAGCATTATCAATACCAGTGGATTTTATGACGTCATTGCAGCAGATTATTCGCGATAATGTATTACATTATTGAGCATCAAGGCCCTGTCCCATGGATATGAATACAATGTTATTTTCGAAAACGAATAAAGAAGAAACTATTGAAAAAGAAGAGAAATTGTTAGATAACAAGTATGTAATACCAAAAATAGCATCAAATAAAACGATCCATAACCAATAACAGCGGATTCCAATATCGAAATCAGACAATATTGTGAGGGAACTGTAGTCTGCTCTGTACGCTAACGCGCGTTCGGTCGAAGCGTTCCATCTAGTACGCGCGCTTCTAGATTCCGCGACTGATGCCGCTGTCCTTGTGGCCTCCTGATTACGCCCTATCGTGTTGATGAAGTGAGGTTAACCGAGGATAATTTACCCAAGCAAATGCGATAAACGAAATGGGGTACAATGTATGTCTACGAGTACAAAGAGATGAATTTGTTCTGTTTTTGTAGTGAGTAGTACTACAACATTTGCGAAACGAGATCGACGAAAGACCGACGTGACTTGTATTTCCTCAGCGTCGACTCCCGGTAAATGTAACAGTCCGGGCACAGTTTGCATAAATAAATGAAAGTATCCGTGTTCCCAGGTGTGTATCTGTTTATTTATACAGTGAGATTAAAATCACTGTTGGTTCTCCTTCTAGGATGGTTAACACCCACTAGCTTTCCGGTCATGTTCGTTCGCCCGCTTCGAAGTATTCGTCAAATCCCCGCCCTGTCATGGAATTTAAAATAACTCTTACACAGAAAGGACAGTTGCCAATAATATCCACCTTGATGGTTTGAAAACATTAGTGGGATGGGGTAACGATGCAACTACGTGCATGTACCCCGCGTACGCACCCCTATGCACAGTCGATCCAGCTGGACCATGGCGGTGATCTAGCGTAGCGTAGTGCAAGGCCATGGTGGTCACTGATACGACGTACCAGTCACAGCGTGCCATTCGCTCGAGCGATCACTGCAATGCTACTCCACACCACACATCAGTCAGTCATTCACTCGCAATGTAAATGAGTTAAATACAATAATATTTGATGGATTAAAACTAGTTTCTTTCTTAGTTTGCCCATGGAACTATAGGTTTATAGTTCCATGGTTTGTCATATGAGATTGTGGAAACAATTTCCAGAAAGACATTTTAAATTATTCAGCCAGTGACTGTGAAACTATTCCGCTCACTGTAGATTTTTCTCCAATTTTTTCTGCTTTTTAGAGGCAGCAAATCCACTGGTAATGACAACGCTACAAAATAATAACAATAATGAACTCCCCGACAACCCATAATGGACTCAAGCACACTTTGTGCTCCATATATGTACTCGGCTCACGCCTCGTACATATATGTCGCACAAAGTGAGCTTTCGTCCATTATGGGTCGGTGGGTCGTTCATTATTGTTTAAATAATAGTAGTGAACAAAATTGGGTTTAGGGTACATTCAATCAAGTTATTTCAAATAAAAGTATGCCCTCGATGGTGAAAAATGTTAATTGTGTACAAAGGTCGCATTTTGGGGTCAATCATATGTTCAGTGCCAGTACTGCAATTTCTTTTTGAAATTACTCAAATTAGGGAATACCAAAAGATGCATCATTTCAGGATTTTTTGTTATTAACCTGACATGTTCACAGATATTGAAAGCAACACCACACTATACCTTGTTTTAGATTTTATGGACATTGAGCAATAGATAAATACTTAAAAATGAATGGTCACATGACTAAACATTGATGCTCATGAGTGAACATAGTTGATCGAATGACTGGCCATCGTCACATGACTAAAGAAACATGATTGAACATAGTTGATCCAATGACTGGCCATCGTCACATGACTAAAGAAACATGATTGAACATAGTTGATCGAATGACTGGCCATCGTCACATGACTAAAGAAACATGATTGAACATAGTTGGTCATCATATTACTAAACATAAATGGCTGTGATTTAATATGGTTCACTACATGATCATAGTCAATCACATGATTGAACATACCCGGTAGTTGATTGCATGACTGGTCATAATGGGTCACATTACTAAACACTCAAATCATCTTTGAACATTCTCTCTATTTTGTTGGAATGAATTGACATCATATACATCTTTGCTTTTTCTTTGCAGATATCCTGGGAAAGTTAGTAAAGTCACTATACAGTTATTACAAAGTGTGTCATTTATTGTCACAGAATAAAAGATTGGTTATTGAGTTCTTCAGTAGTCTGGTTATACATAACGTCTATGGTTATAAAATAACTGAAAGGTAAGATGAACCACTTGAAATGAGATGACTTTTATGGTACGCTGGTAGTGTGTAAATTATCATTCATGAAATTGACCCCATTATAAATGACCAACCTCTGTTAGGTTTCAATATTCAAAATTCTGCAGATGGATTTACACAACGATCACTGTGCCGCATCATGTTCGACATAGGTCCTATTAGGTGTATACAACACGTACTGGTATAAAAACATTGTTTTGTTTTTTTACATAACATTCAACCACAAGCTGCATGATAACCACCATTGTTTAAGCAATAAGCCATGTAAATGTTGAATTACAAGTAACCGAACAATGTATTGCACACATCTTGTACTTCACATGGGACCCCTTACACGTAGACTGTGCAATTTTAAAAAGCAGTGACAATTTAACACACTAATTGTATATGATTTTCTTTGGTCTTTGGTATGCATGCACGTCTTCAAAGAATGTTGAATATCTACAACTTTTACTGTTCTTATACAGGTTTGCTGTTATCAGTAAATGGTTACAGGGTCTACCACAGTTACTGTTAAATATCAAAACTCACTGTCGATCAACGACCACAGAAATATTACATGTAATGAGTGTAACTGCATCACAACGAAATGAACAATTGATGGTATGCCTGCAGGAGAACGTCAGACAAATTGTTGGTAAGTTCAAATTATGCAGAATTATAAAATTTAGTGATAAATGTTATTAATCCTCAAGATCCTGAATGTTGACAACAAAATCTTCATCTTTTCTCACAGGAAGTGTATATAGCTTTCTCTATCAAATCTGCTGTTATAACTTTTACTGAGAATTGAAAAAATATAAAATTAGCTATTTATTTTATTAATTTTCGTTGTTTTTTTTTAGATCCTGGACAGGGAGTGTTGCTTCTTCTACCGACTGAAAATCAAAGACAGATCATAGAACTTTTGTACCATGTGCCAAATATCACCTTAGAAACATTTATTTTTTTGGCAGATTGTTGCCATGACAACAGATTGAGTTCAGAAAATGTGGCATATTTGTTACAGATACTTTTTTTTCGGTAAATTTTCAAGTTTTTCATTCTCTCGGTTAACGATCTATCACCACTCATTAGACATACAGAATGTGTTACTCTATGCTTTTGTACACCATAGGTCATATCATGTCGTCAGTGTTGTGTTTGTAATATGTTTAATATATGGCGATGGTAGTCCATCATTGTGGCTTAAATACTTTTGGTGATCTTTTTTGTGTGGGTCTGATTGCTGATTTGACTACTAAGGGTATGCTCAGGTCATCTTGTAATTATTTTCATACACACCAGTAATGTCAAAATACAGTTGCTGTGATTGGTTGAATAGTTTCTAACTGTTGAGTTTCTAAAAGTTATTTAAATATTAATAAACAACCATGAGAAATCTGAAATAAATCTATACTAGCTGAAATTAAAAATGTTATTACAATTTAATTTATTATCAAAGATTTATGAGATAAAGGTGTAATTGGTTTTATGGAAGAAGATTACAAAATCACAAATACATTTCTACAAATATTATTGATAATTGGTGAGTCTGCAAAAGAAATTGTGTTCACTGGTTTTTTTAGTGTCTTCATTTTTAACTTTTTCAAGCATCCACTGCATCTGTGTTGCCATTGGTTGGGACATAGGCAGATTGATGAGTGAATGGAACTATCATGTAACGTCCTGTATCTTGGTGTAATTTATTTTCAGATATCAGAATGCAACATCCAACATGAAGGCCATGAATATCGAACCAATAGCATTTGATAATGTAGATTATCTGAGATTTCTATTCTCAGTACTCTTAGGTAGGTCTCCTCATAAAGTTGTTGCATTGCATTGTGGGATTGGGGGGGGGTCTGTCAAATGATGCCATAAAAGTGAGATGTATCTTCCCAGTCACAAGCTTCTTGAGTACTTGCTTTGCTAATTTTTACTTTGCTTTCAATTTCAAACGCTGTTGTCGACCCTTTGTTTGATAATTCACTTCTTCAAAGAAATTCAGAAAGCAAAATTGAATAGTTTATACCAAGAGAAGAAGATACATACAAACATGTGTTTCAACTGCATTTTCAACTGCATTTTTAAACTTTGGAGAACTGATAAGTTTATCAGTTTTCTACTACTTTTTGGAAAGATTTCTGATAAATTTAGTAATATCATAAGATAATAGGCATAAACAACAGTATGTGCAAAAAATATAAATATACGAAACACTCATGTTTAATTGATTTTTCTTTACTTGATAATATCTATTGCAGTTTCTTCTCAACTTTGAAAAAAGAAAG